TTTTTTTTTGCTCTGCTTCTGGAGTATTTGCTGCATTTAACAAGGTTAATCGTCATAGTCTCACTTTGCTCAGGTAAATACCTTGCTTCTACTCAACTGTCTGCAAGTTTCCAGGTTCTGAATCAACAAGAAACAGTAGCTACTGGTTTTAATTCACTACTCAGCAAGCACCAAAGAGATGCAATTCTTACAGATGAGTTTGTGGAGCATGGAAACAAGTAAGTTCTGATGACAGTTATGAATGAAGCTGGTTTTCAGATGGCCCTCTTGCGAATGTATGCAGGTACTAGCCGTAATGCTGTAACTACTGCATCTAAAACATGAATCAGCTACGTTTGGGGTGCTAATTGTGCTTCCTGAGCCGTATTGGCTTTTTCTGTAAAAGCCGTATGCTGGGAAGCAGATGAAAGCTATTGAACTGTACTGATTCAGGGTGATATATGGGACCCTTCAGGTCAATAAAGAACCTGTTTAGTCAATACAGCCCTCTGACTGGCTTAAAGCATGTTTGTATGGTCTGAAACACTCTTAGCTGGCCATCACTTAGTGGTTGAGAGCTCTCTTGATGGTCCTCTTGGCTGAAACTAAGCTGATAAAACCAGCCAGATGTCCTATTAACGCTTGATCTTACTTTTGCTTTTTAAAGATAAGCCAATAAACAAGGTTATGTAACCAACTTTTAACATAAGAGCTTTATATATTTCTAAAAGTATATTTTATTAAATACATATAAAAATATATTCCAGGCAACGGTAAGCCCCAGCTAGTTTCCCCTGTGGCAAGAAGACTTGAGTTGACCTGCTTGCTTTTCACTTTGAAATGCTAAGAGCTGACAGGTGCAGAGGCTGGGAAAGTGGTGTCAGCTGAGTAGCCGGCTAAGAGAAGCTCCCAAACCTTGGTGCCAGTACTATTGTGTCTTGGCTTGGTGGGAGGAATGGATTCGAAGACCCTCCCGGGGGTTGAGCGAGCTGATGTGCTGCTCATGGCTCCTACTAGCCTGCAGGGCAGAGTGTGATTCAGAGTGACAAGCTGCTGTTCTTCCCTCTACGCTCACTGGCTTCTAACTTTCTGACTGGAAATGTCGGTAAAAGCAAGAAAAACACTGTTTTCTTGGTCACTAATGTGCTGGATCTTCATGTTGTTTTTGAGCATGAGAAAAGAAGGAAAAGTAAAGAATTTTGCATCTGTTGCACTTACTTGCTGTGTGTGGGTTCCACGTACCCTCCACAGCAAGCCTGGTGACCTGTCTAGCCTTTCCTGTTTAATGGAGGAGCTTGGAGAGAAATTAGGGAACCATGCTTAACAGCCAGTCTGTGCAAAAACACAGTAAAGGTTTCTCTCTGCCATCCTGTGAATATAAACAGCATTTGATAGATCTGATGCTCCTTCTTGGCCAGAGGGAGGATTTCCTTAACTTGCTTAAGTTTAACAATGAATCAGCCACGTACGCCTGCTTGTTTCTAATAGGAAATATTTTCACTAGTAGAAAAATCTTTAATCAAAGTAGACTATGCCCGTTCTGCCTTGGGTTAATTTGCTGAAGCTTAGGAAGAGAATTATAAACTCCTAGAAATCATCTCAGCTAGCTCAAGAGGTGAACTGGAAAACTTGGGAGAGCTTTTTGATGTGTCAGAGCTCTGCATATTTGATTTCTGGCAGGGCTGACTGGTGCAGTTTTCTATGTAGGTTTTGGATTGTTTGAATAGCACGTGCAATGAAGCACTTTGTAAATTATATCCCTCTGGGGGAGACCTGAGCTTGGAGAACATCAGGTGGAAAGTTTGGGTATATGTCTGAGGTGCTTATTCGGGCTTACTTTTTCCTCAGGGAGAGGTTATGAAACTAATTAACTTAATGGGTCGGAAGAGCATTTAGGTGTCTGGCACAGTGAGGTAGAGAAAGTAGACATCCTCCTTCTAAGCAACATAGTCTCTTCTCAACCTTTTGGGGATGTGTTCTTAAATAGGCTTCCTGGCCTTGGGCCTCTTCTGAGGGTTGATGATGAGATTAGCTCTAATCCAGGGACTGAGTCCTTGTTCCTCATGTCCTGGTTATTGGTGAGGAACTGATCCCTCTTTCCTGACCTGTGCCGAATCCTGTGGAGCTGTACACAATTTCACTTTGAAGTGATGTTAATCTGGCAGTTTAATGTCTTCTTCTGCCCTGCCTTTCTCTTCTCAAGCAGTCCAGCGTGCGCTGTGGCTTCCCTTCCTAAAAGTGGTTGGCACAAATCTCTGCAAAGCAGGGCAACCTCATCTCATTCCAGGCCTTAGCATCGTTTGTATTGATCTGTGGATATCCATCTTGGTTCGCTAATGGGCGTCAAGTGGAAAAGGTAATAGATTTCTATTGCATTTGAATTAATCTCTCACTTGGTTCCTTTGGATCAGCTCCAGGATCTTGTTAAGAACAGAAGACACTGATCATCTTAAAGGATGGGAGGGGAATCCGACCATTCAGGCACAATGACTTGTATCTCTTCCCCGTGAGTTGAGCACTAAAGGCCATAGAGGAGGGGGAGAGTTGAAAGAGTTGCTCAATGGATTTAGTTGTTTAAAATGCCTCAAGCACCGGAGAATAACTGCAGAAAGTGGAGTGCAACATCCAGAGGAATTCCTTATGCTTCATTAGCAGTTGTGGGGGAGCACATAGGAGACCCAGGTTCTTCCAGCACCTAATGATGCTTTTGATGCTTTTCAGCAACTGAGCTCCAAATCCACCTTAACACAGCTCTTTCCTCGGTGCTTAAGACAAATCTAGGTTTCAGACCCAGCTGCTTTGGTGCTCAGTGATCTTGTGTCAATCCTTGCTGTGGTTTGAGATGCTGTTTTGCCAATTGGTTCTGGTGCATTCTAATTTGCAGAAGACACCTGTTCCTTATTTATCACCATCCTTTGTCCCTCTCTCTTTGTTTCAGCTCTTTCTGGCGCATGAGCTATTAACAAGATTTGAAGGGAGGCTGTGTTGAGCAGTGTGTGTGTTGGGAGGGGAGGTTGAAAGATGTTAGTCACAAACTTGAGTATAATTTCCAGTAAGAGAGTCAGTGTCTACTTGGTTCGGTCTGGGTCCTTGACCTACATCTTTTTAGTCTGAAGTTTATTTAGTCCTTTGGGGTTTGTGCACTATCCTAGGATGGAGTGGCAGTCTGTAGCGAGTGGAAGAAGAGTGGAGTTAAGCTTGAAAAGGAACAAGAAAGGAACAAGAGGGAGAAGATTTAAAAAGACTTGTAACTGGCTGGTTTGCTTCAGTGTTAAAACTGAAAGTGTCTTAACTAAGGCTGGTTTTGCTCTTAGTCTTGCCAGTTATGCGTGTGGTGTTGCATTCTGTGTGATTTCAGCGTTTCCTCCAAGGATCCTCAATTGCTTCACAAATCTGAATTCCGTGCATGCTTTCTGCTTGAAAAGGAACAAGAAAGGAACAAGAGGGAGAAGATTTAAAAAGACTTGTAACTGGCTGGTTTGCTTCAGTGTTAAAACTGAAAGTGTCTTAACTAAGGCTGGTTTTGCTCTTAGTCTTGCCAGTTATGCGTGTGGTGTTGCATTCTGTGTGATTTCAGCGTTTCCTCCAAGGATCGCTTCACGCTTCACAAATCTGAATTCCGTGCATGCTTTCTGTCCCCCTTTTCTTTTTTTTTTTAAGCAGGAAAAAACAAGACTTGGTGTAAATGATGGCCTCAGGTCAGAATACCTCTTGATCGAGCGATGTGTGAAACCAAGGGTTCTCTCCTCTGGTCCCCTTCTGGGTTTACTTTGGTTGTCTGAGAATACTTGTGATGCGAGGCATTTCCAATTTGCCTTGCAGATATTCTGAAACCATCTCAGAGGTTTCTTGGGGTTGTACTGATCTTAAAATAGCTCAGATTAATTTCTGTCACTGACTCTGTTGGGGTCGACAGAGACCTCAAGGCTCTGCAGCCTGCCCTTTTGAGTCCCAGTTCTTCCCTTCTGGTGACACCTTTTTTGAGAACTGCTTTAAGAAGTCATGGAAAAGAGCAATGTGTAAATATTAATGTTGAGTATTTGTCTTTAAAAATCCCTTTGGGATGCTCAACAAATCTGCACCGTGTATGCTGTGGCTTTCTAGATACTGCTTGCTTACAGCTTTTGGACCTGTTGGTATGTCGCTAGCCCGTGCCATCCCATGGGTCATGGGCAGGGCTGTCTTCTGTAACACCCATTTTGTCTCCCCGTCACAAGTAGCTTCTCTCAGTTCATGTTCAGACCTCGGTCAAGGTCTGTCGTCTTCCTGCAGTAAAGCCTTTCCTTTTCTCTGGACTAGGCAGGGCTCTGAGTGCCACTCAGTGTCTCTCAATATACAACTAAGAGGGCAGTGAAGAAAAGTCTCTCCTCATTGACAGTGTCTTTAATTTCCACACTGAATGAAGCTCATTCTTACGAGTATCTCTTTGCTTTATTTTTTTTTTCCCCTCACTTTGCACAGGTTTTCAGCTTCCAAGTCAACAGCTTAACTGTTACACTATAAGCTTCCCACTGTAAAACAAGCAGCTTAAAGCATGGGAAAAAAATGTTCTGGGCAGACCTGGCTCCATTGCTGGAGCAGGAGGGGACACCCCAAAGCTAACCCATCAATGTTAATGAGAGCAGACTGGTCATGACTATTGCTATCCAGACCTAAACTGAGCATGTACCCGGACAAAGAGGCCACAGTTTAATATTTAATGTTCCATAAGGCTGCACTGAGAGCTTTTACTGAAATGTGTCAGTAAAGGCATGCTGTAGCCGTGATAGCAAGTGGCTAAGAGCCAAGAGGATCCTGTGCTCTACTTCTGCCCGAGGCATGTTCTCTGATACAAAGCAGCTTGCTTGACCCTCTGTGTCTCAGCCAACCTAGCTGTAAAATTAAGCAACAAAGAAAGCTCCATGACAAACAGACGTGTCTGGAGGTGAACTTTAAAGGCAAGCTTTGGTTTACTGATAAATTTGTCATACTAGCAGAATTTCTGGTTTCTAACCTAATGGGTGTTTTTGTTGTCCTTCCAGGCAGCATTCACTCTCCTCCTGGGTCCTTTCACCTTCTTCAATGTGCAGAAGACCAAGTATCTTCAAATCATGACATCCCTCATGAGATGGATAGGTGAGTCTTGGCCAGATGGAACCTGAGTCATGCTACTGATGCTTTTTTTTTTTTTTTGCAAGATATTCTTGTTCAGAAGCAAGTGCTTGTCAAAACAACCTCTTTGAGGAGGATTGTCCAGGCCTGAAATCTCTGAGGAAAAGGATTTTTGTTCTAGGATGAAATTTCTAATTAAAACAAAACAGATTGTTCTCAATCAGACATGAGCTGGTAGATGAAGTTTTAACCTGGTTTGTGTGAGAGGCAGAAGGGATTTGGAAGAGTCTGCTGTGTGGGGGCTAACTATGATACCCACCAGTTGCTGTTCAGCAGTAAGTTTCTCATTCTCTCAGCATGTGTACAACAGACTTTGAACAATCTTTGTTTTGATCTGAGAACAAAAGGCACTTCTGTCAGACTTTACGCCCTTAGTTTTATCATCTGTTTGCATTTTTTTTCTCCTGGGTCTTGCTTTAGCATAGGATGTGCTGCATTGAAAACCCCTAAACCAATGTGTGTTGTCCTTGGGAAGCCCCGCTGTCGTGAGTTCTCTCCAAAATCTTACTGCCAAGAACTTCTGGGAAGACAGATAATTCCCTTACGGGAAATAAGACATCACTATTTTTTTTTAGTGTCTTTGTCATCCAAAGATGCAGCTGCCTCACATCTGGCTTGTATGTGTACATGCCCTTAAAGGCTGGGGGGGGTGTTATGGAGACCTATGTTGAGGTTTGTCTTGTTTTATGTAACCTAGACAGAGTAACTGATATTCAGGGCTAACAGAGAGGGTCTTAGAGCACCAGCAGCATTTCTGCAGGCTAACAGTCTCCTGGCTCATGGGTCCAGATCATTCAAGCACAGAATTAGCTCTGTTTATACCTATCACTGACCTGGAATAGGAAGAAAAGCTGATTCTCAGACTATTTCCCACTGCACACACATGCTTGACCTTACTTCGGTTGGCTATCGTCCCTTTTCTGTGAGTTCAAAGGCCTGTGATCCTGTTCGGAAGTGGCTGGCAGCCACTGCGGAGGAATAGAGATCCTCTGTTCTAGAGAACATCTGAGATGAGGTTAAGCAGTTCTCACCCAGGAAAATGAAGTTGGATTTTAAGCCCTCAAGTCTCAGATGCTGAACAGCTTGAGTTAACGAATCTTGACCTCGGATGATGTGAAAATCCTGAATGTCTGTTTTTCCCTTTTGCTGTCTGAGCACATGAAAGGTTTGAAAGCTCCCATGTTCTTCAGAGAAAGAGGTTATCTCATTAAGGGGTATTAAAGGAAGTTGGGTTTTTTGGGTTGGTTTGTTCTTTTTTTTAAAGAGTAATTTCTGCTCAGCTCACTGGCCTGTTTCCAATCACCCTGCCTCCTCTTTCCTGGTAAAGACATCAGTCAGACCTCATCCTGTCTTTGTGACAACCTGACACCTGCCTGATCTGCCATTGGTTTCCCTTTAGCCAGCTCCTTCTAGTATGAGGATTGCTAAACCTTGGCATAAAGGCAGAACTGCTTCTCTTTTTCATCACTTGATGGAGAGGGACAAAGGCAGTGCTTGGAGAAGTGTAGGGGAAACTCATGCTTTAGCCTGATTGATTCCTGTGTCAGCACGCTGGGGAACAGCTGCCCTAGATAATGATATTTAATGACCCTGACAGCACCTCAGTGGCTACTTAGAGCAACGGATTCTGTATGTGTACAATGAGGGATAGATCTATTAGGAAAGACGATATATCAAACAGCCATGGGATGTAGGGAACAGAGAGAAGCTCTTGCTGCAGATTCCAGGATAAGGATGGATCCCGTACTGTTTAGATTTATCAAGCTGGCTTCTCCCATGTCCTCACATCATTGCTGTCCCCTCCTCCAAAAGCAGGGCTGTGAGTTAAACATGGGTTGGTCTTTTGTTGGTGCTTAGGGAGCTTAGATCCTAAAGAATGGTCTTGGCTGGTGTCTTGTGGTCTCCTGAACTTGTCCTGCCTGAAAGCCAATGGACAGATGTGGACTCCTGTCCTGCTATAATCTGTGACTTTTCTTCGTCTTCCTTTAGTTGGTTTTAGCCGCGTGGTGCTGAAGGTGGTTCCCCTTCTGCCAAGCACTCTGAGCAGCAGAGCTGAACACTGGAGCTGCCAGCCTACCTCTTTGTTTTGCTGGGTAAAAACTTCCCACACGGACAGTGGCTTATTCAGCTTACCTGTGCCTGCTGGCCTGGTGTGGATGGGAAACTGACCCATGCTCTGCATTGTGATTTGAAAAAAATCAAGCCTATTTGATTTGCAATGCGTGTACTGCAGGACCCACCGTACAGCCTTTTCCCCAGCCTGGTGAAAAGCCCCTGGATTTTGGAGCAGCAGTGGCTGATGTAAGGCTGCACTGCCCCAGGTGTACTGGCAATTCGGATGACAGTGGCTGAGAGGATGGTTCTCAGCAGCAGGGAGAGCTAGCTATGTGTGAAGGTCATTTCGGCTGGTGTTTGTAACAGTGTCAGCCTTGCCTTTGAAAGTTGCTTTCCCTCTTTCTCCTGTTCTAAGTGATAATCAAATGTCACCAGCCTCTTTCCAGAGCCTTGTGCTCATTGCAAGCAGCACATCAGCTAACAAAGCCTACAACAGTCTCATGGACAAGAAAAATTTCATTCTGTCTCTGAAAAATGCAGTTTTAAACACTGGGACCTGAACTGGAAATTGAAAATGGGCCAGTTCAAAGAACATGGAGATGTGGCAGGGGTGAGCCATTCATCTGGCTGTGTTTTTCCTCCCAGGGTAAGGGACTAGCCAGGACAGGCACCTCTGAAGTCTCTAAAGGGAGAAAGTTGAAGGAGGAGCTTGCAAGCCCAAGTGCTGTACTGCTAGAGAGCCCAGACAGATGGGCTCTCATTGTTTGGGCCTGCCGAACATGGAGAGCTCATCTGGAAACAAGGCTGGCGTGGCGAGGCGTTTCCCTGTCAGGACTGATAGGAGCACAGAGGGTGGATCTGTGTCTCCAGGTGGAGTGTGGCTGATGGCAGAGAGAGGGCTTCCAGAGCCGTCGAGCTGTTGGCAGTCTTCTGAAGAGTAACAGCTTACATACTTGGCTGCAAAACTGACTGCCACCTCGTGTGGGTGAGTGCCAGCGGTTAAATTCAGTGCAGCAGTCGGTGCTTGAACTGCTGGCCTTATCTGTGCTTAGAGATCTCTGTTCTCAGGGAGCTGGCGGGTGTGTAAGGGTTTGCCTACACAAGCTCTCATCCCTTTCCCAACTGTAAAAGCTCCTCAGGCCGCTTTGTCAGCCCTCTGCTACTCGTGCCCAAACTGCCCTGGGAGACTGAACACAGGCACCCTAAGGGGTGCGACAGGGAGACTGTCATCTGTGCTTCCCTGGAGAAAGGGCTAGTTGGGAAAAATCACTTGTTCTAAATCCTGGTAATGGTGTTTAAGGTGAAGCCTTGATTTGAGTTAGGGATAAAACCTTGCTGGCTCACCCAGCTCTTGAGCAAGGATACTAAGAGCAGAGACAGGGCCCAGCCTGGTTGACCAGGTAAGTACGAATCGTCCCCTTGGGGTAGGAAGGGTTCCTTCCCCAAACTGTAACTCCTTCCTTCCTTTCAGCTCCCTTCCACCTCAGCCTTGCAAGTGTGGAGCTGTTACTAGCCCAAGTCCTTTACCAGTTTTGGAGCCTGCTTCCAGGTCTCTTACAGGGTTCTTGGAACAGGGAGTCTCCTGCAGAAGACTAAACCAACTAACCCATCAATAAATTAGAGCTGTTGGTATTTTCAATTCTGCTGTTTGGACTTCAGGCTCTTTTTTCCTGGAGGGTTTAAATCTGTGGTGGTGATGGATTGCTCCCTAAAGAGACTTGAATCATCTAGCTCGTTTTTTTTTTCCCCCCTCCTTTCTTCAGTCCTCATCAAGTGGGTGGTGTTAGGGGTGAGCTGCTGGAGGGCACGGCACAGCAAAAGGGACTGAGCCAGGCAAGTCTGATGCACCTCTCAAAGCAGAGGGGACACAGCTCACTGGGGCACAGCCCTACTTCTTTATTATTGGATAATAACTGTCTAGCAGCATCATGGGAAAGGGTACGGATTAGGAAAGATAACAAAAGGAAAGGGCTTGTTGGAGCTCAGCAGCAAACATCGGGCTATTGTGTATTAAGCAGCTAACCCAGTTAATTGCAGCCTGTTACAGCCTGAGATGCCCAGCTCTATAGGTGAGGACTGTTGGCTTTAAAGACATTGATAGCATGATTATCGCTACTGCTATTGAAGAGTCTCTGGCAAATGTTCCCAGACAGCTCCCACGTGGAACACTTGCTCTATGTGCTGCTCTTGATGCTGTATTGTAGTTATTAGAAAGTATTGTATTTTAATAAAGAGACATTTTACAGAGGAATAAACTTCTAGGTTTGGTTGCTGCAGGCTCAGTTCTCTCTCCCTGTAGCACAGTCAGATCATACCACATCCATCCAAGTAACTGCAGCCCTTGAGACAGATCACTCCCAACCCTGCCCAAACTATGACCTTGCAATTATATGCCCCGAAACAGTGTCTCTCCCCTAGCTCTTTCCCCTGGCCAGTAAGATGAGGGGGGGAAGGACAAGAATAGCCAGGAAATGTGTTATATTCTTTTTTCTTTTTTTTTTTTTTTTTTTTTTTTTCCCCTCTTCTCTCCCCCATTCCCTCCTGTCCTGTCCCCGGATCCTGACCCCTTCCAGGGTACTTGGTGGAAGGCTTCTAGGCAAGAAACTATGAAAGGGCTCTCCAAAGCACGCTGGTGAGGCTGACTTTCCTTATCTGTTCACTTCTCTGATACTTCTGCTTCTTCCACCAGAATCCTGCTCTTTACAGGACTCCTCAGCACTTCTCTGCAGAGAACTGGTCTCGGACCATCTCACTTTGTGATCAGGTTTCAGCTGCTGTAGTAACTGTCGCTGCCATCCTTAGCAGGCTTAACCAGCCATGCTGGAGTTGATTCAGTGCAGAAACCCGGAGTCACTCTGCTACGTCCTTTCAGCTGCAGAGACTGAGAATTATAGCGGAGGCTGATATAG